CAGACACTCAATAAACCCTCCTGTTTTCCTCTAGCTGAGAGACTCCTTGAGGGGGCCCACGGCAAGAGACAGACGTGCTAAGGCTCAGAGAAGTGTGGTTCCAGGAGGTGGAGGGGCCTGACCCCCGAGAGAGAGTGGACCCCTGAGAAAGGCTGTCGCTCTGAAGGGGGTTTTCCCCACGGACTGTACGGGGCCAAGAGTGGGCAGGATCTGTGAGTCCGTGACAACGGGAATGGGGTCTAGTGATTGGGGGGGAGGGGCTGGGAACCAGGACTCCTCGGTTCTCTCCTTGGCTCTGGTTGGGGGGTGGGGTCTGGTGCTTAGAGAAAAGGACACAGATCAGAGCCAGCCCCGTAATGGGGAAAGGCCCCGTGTCCCTTCCCCAGCCCATCCCCGGGGCCGTGGGTCTGTGCAGCTCAGGGCTCAGGGCAGAGCTCACAGGGGCCGGCGGCTGAGCCGAGCTTCCCTCTCTGACCTCAGGATGCTGCGAAAGGGACATGGGAGGGGGGAGCCGACCAGCCCCCCAGAAAGGGGAGGGGAGAAGATCACAGGGACAGAGCTCGAGAGAAACTGGCCCCCCCAGCAGATGCCCCAGCTCTGGCTCCCCAGCTCAATTGCCCTTCACCCCCCCCGACATTCACGCATTGGGCCCCTCTGCCCCCTATCTGCCCCCAGCCCCTGCCCCCTCACAGCCCCCCACTAGCCATGGCCGCCATCTCCCATTGCTCCCCAAGGGAAGGAAGCCCCTGTTGCCCTCAGTTAACATGGCTGCCCCCTCGCCCCCTACAGTGCTTGCAGGGCAGCCATGCTGCCCCCTGGCTAAGATGGCCGACACCTCAGCCTGGGGGGTGGACAAGCTTCCCCCCCCGGACTGTCGGGGTGAGTCGATGGCTACATGGGAAAGAGCCCACAGCCCCTCCCCTCCACGCTCCTTCCCCCATCAGCCCATATCCTCCAAAGCCCCCATCTCCTGCCCGGCCTGTCCCCATCAGGGAGGGAGGCTGAGGGGACGTGTGGGTGTGGGGGCCATTATAGGACAGGCAGCGTGTGGGGCAGGGGGAGGAAGGGAAGAAGAATGTGGGGGGAGGGGAAGGGGCTCAGACTGAGGAGACAGGAGCTGAGAGGGGTGTGGGGCAGGCCCGTGACAGAGAAGGGGGGATTTGGGGTCCCCCATAAGTGTTTCAGGCTGAACCCGCCCCA